GGGGGGGCGGGGGGAGCCCTCGTCTCTCCCTCCTTAGGCCGAGGCTGCTGTGCGTGTTCTTTCTCGGCCACATGGGCCTTCTCCTGGCGTCCCCCGGCAGCCTGGGGAGGTGCCCGCCTGGCCCTGGGCAGCCTGGAGGCAGGTGCAGAGGAACCTGCAGTGGGGAGGCCTGGTGGGTGAAGGGAAGCGATGTCCTGTGCGGGGGCTGCTGGGTTGCCCCTTGTAGCACCCATGGGTCACCTCATAGCTCACCCCTCAGGGGGCAGCCAGAGGGAGAGCTGAGTGTCTAAAAGCACGTCTAGGGAGAAACAAGTGGGCAAAGTTTCCTTCCCGCTTTGTGTGGCCATGGGGAGAAGCATTGCAGGCTCATGGCTGCTCCTAGACAGGGCCCTTTGCCTGGCACAATGCTGGTGGCTCTGTTTCCGCTTCCTCTTGGCAGAGCTCTGTATGCTCAGGCATGCTCTTTGCCTCTGAGAAGTGGTGGGAGGAGTACGGGCACGCTCTTGGAGTGAAAAGCAGGTATGAATAAAATCTGTGGTCACTCCATTGTTGCTTCCACAGAGTTGGTATCATGTTGGCTTGGGGTTTGAGAGTGCTTTGCTTTCTGAGTTCAAGGAATTCATATCAACTCACAGTACCATGGTTTCTATGCTGGGGAGTGAAAGATGAGTAAAAGACCACTGAATCAGAGGCCAAGAGTCTTGTAGGCTTGGGGAGATAACTTCTGGGCTTCTTTCTGTCAAGGAAAGACAAATGCTGTTGATGTAAGAGAGCGCTAATTTTGCAAAATTGTGCATGGATGTCACACACGATGACAGAAGAGCTTCAAGTCATGGTAGCAATCACCCATCAATGTGTAGCGTAAAGCAAAACCAAGTAACAGTCACCTGCTAATTCTTTCTGTTCATCTAAGGCAGCCCCTCTCAGAGCTCTTACTGCTTGTTGCAGCTAATGATGTGCTTCTTTAACTGGAAATAAAGTTCAGGGATGAAATGTTTATCAAGACTACATTATTGCTTCAGTGGAGGTAGGATTTAATTTTGTCATAGTGACTGTTTTCTGAACTTTGAGGACACACTAATATGTATTGCGGTGTGTTAATTCCCATGTGTTCTTTGTACCTATACATTCTATGATTTTCTTGTTTAAATGACAGTGATGAAGCTAATCCTTCAGATTAAAAAAAAATAAAAGCAAACCACAAACTTGGATTTTTCTGGTTTAACTCATTTTTGTGTAGAAATGGCCCTAAAATTGTGTTTGGACCATTGTGAACTGGCTGTCAGAAGAGATGGTTCAGAGAAGAACATCAATAATCTTCACAAATAGTTTAATTCAACTTTTGTACTGGATTTACTACAGTGTGTGTTACTTTTCATGCTAACACCTGCACGGGTGTCCAGACCCACCCCAAATCCTCTTCTCTTATTCTGCCATATTGCTGCTACAGTGCTGCTTATCCCGCTTAGGAATGGTTAGTGTATCAGTGGCAAAGGAGAGGCTCACTTAAAAACTCCAGATATTAACCTGTAGTCAGGTACACACAGGTATCTGGCACTTGCATGAATCTCTTGCGTTGTTTGTGAACTCGAGGTGTGACTAGCTAAGACCGATGAGGTTAATTGGCAAGAATGCTTCTAAATGGAAATTTATGCAGATACAGGTTCTGGTTGTACTCCCATCAGTCTTCCTCCTTAAACACAGGACTAAAAGGCACTTCCCAAATCCAGTCCCCTGCTGTTGAGACATTCTTAAACTTTTCAATCTCCCTCTTAAAACTAATTAGGTTATTTTCCTTATGTTATTCCCACTGTGAGGCTACACCATACTCTGAGCTCTGATGGCTAGACACGTTCTAGTTTGCAGTCTGAATGTATTCATAGCAGGTATAATCCCTTTTGTCCTCGTGCCAAACTCTTGCTTTAGTTTAGACATCACTTCTCCCTCTGTAATGTTTAGCCTTGATGTCTTTGCAGAGTACTGTCCCATACTGTCTTTCCCGTTGCTTTTTAGGTCAAATAAGGCCGGTTCTTTTACAATCTTCCCCTAATACGAACACCACAGGAACCCATCTCAGAGAATATCGTATCTGACATTAACCTGTTTTTCAGATGCACAACCAAAATTACTCGGTTTGCTGTGCAATGCACCAATGTTTTAGAGAAAAGCACTGGCAAATCCTTATCTCTTTTATCTCTTCCTGGTACATTTTAAGGTAATGTTTACTTTTTCCATCACTCTCTCACACCAGTTCCTAGTTTTGAAATTGTTGTCAGCTGGCAGTAAATACACCTGTGGACTTCATTTGCTGTAAAAGGCAGTTAGTCAAACTGAGTCTTCAGTGCTCCTGGGCTCTAGGTCTCCTGTGCTGATGCTGTCTAGTGCTGTGGAGTTTCATGAGTATTTAGGACCAAACAAATTAAAAAAATCAAGATGGAAAAGCTGTAATAGACCTTTCTGGGTTTACCTACAGTTTCTCACAGCCAGTGTGGTGAGTCAATGGGTAGAGGCTATCCTACCTGGGCATGAGTCTTGTGGTGGCTTCAATGCTTGCTTCTGGTTTGAAATGAAGGCACACAGTGCATTTAGGTATATGTGATTTTTGTTTCTGTGTCTTCTGGTACACACTGGATGAGGTTTATCCCTGATAGATCCCTAGAAGGGAATTTGATATTACTCGTGCTTGATTGTCTGTGTGCAGAAAAGGGTTGGTTTTTTTCCAAGGAAATAAGTTGTGTTTTAGCAGCAGTATGTAAAAGGATAACATTTTATAGTGATCTAGAAACTTAATTTGAGTAGTTGATATTATCTCATGGATTTGTGTGTGCATGGTACCATGTAGGCTCAAATTAAATAATGAAAATCCATATTAATATCTATAATGTTTGCTTAATCTTTAATTGCTTTGAAACTATTTGTGGACTTTTAGAAAGCATCTTGAGGTGCCGAGAAGTTATATTCCTCCAGATTTGCGTTCATTTTCCACACTTATCCTCTGGGTAGCAACAGTGCAAGGAACTCATTATTTCTCTATGCAGACATCACAATTTT